ATTTATACTGGATAGTTTTATCAGTTGTAAACTGTTCTCCCCAGAGGTCTAGTAAAGGTTATCTCTTATTGGTCCAGTGTTGCTACGGGAGAAAATAAAAATTAAACTAACTTTGTTAATACTGGATAGCTCAATCAGTTTTAAACTGCTTCCTAGAGGCCCAGTAAGGATCATCTCTTATTGATCCAGTGTTACTACAGGAGGAAGCCTAAACTAAACTAACTTTATTTATGCTGGATAGCTCTATCAGTTCTAAACTGTTCTCTCTAGAGATCCAGTGAGGATCATCTCTTATTGATCCAGTGTTACTACAGGAGGAAACCTAAACTAAACTAACTCTATTTATACTGGATAGCTCTATCAGTTCTAAACTGTTCTTCCTAGAGTTCCAGTAAGGATCATCTCTTATTGATCCAGTGTTACTACAGGAGGAAACCTAAACTAAACTAACTTTATTTATACTAGATAGCTCTATCAGTTCTGAACTGTTCTCTCTAGAGGTCCAGTAAGGATCATCTTTTATTGACCTAGTGTTACTACAGGAGGAATCCTAAACTAGACTAACAATATTTGCACTGGATAGTTCTGTCAGTTCTAAACTGTCTCCCTGGAGGTCCAGTAAGGATCATCTCTTATTGATCCAGTGTTACTACAGGAGGAAACCTAAACTAAACTGATAATATTTATACTGAATAGATATCAGTTCTAAACTGTTCTCCCTAGAGGTCCAGTAAGGATCATCTCTTATTGATCCTGTGTTACCACAGCAGAAAACTTAAATAAACTAAATTAGCAATATTTGTACTGGATAGGTATCAGTGCTAAACTGTTCTACGTAGAGGTCCAGTAAGGATCATCCCTTATTGCGGATCCTGTGTTACCACCAGGAGAAAACTTAAACTAATATAAATTAGCAATATTTGTACTGGATAGTTTTATATCAGTTCTAAACTGTTCTTCCTAGAGGTCCAGTAAGAGTCATCTCTTATTGATCCAGTGTTACTACAGGAGGAACCTAAACTAAACTAACTTTATTTATACTGGATAGTTCTATCAGTTCTAAACTGTTCTTCCTAGAGGTCCAGTAAGGATCATCTCTTATTGATCCAGTGTTACTACAGGAGGAAGCCTAAACTAAACTAACTTTATTTATACTGGATAGTTCTACCAGTTCTAAACTGTTCTTCCTAGAGGTCCAGTAAGGATCATCTCTTATTGATCCAGTGTTACTACAGGAGGAAACCTAAACTAAACTAACTTTATTTATACTGGATAGTTCTACCAGTTCTAAACTGTTCTTCCTAGAGGTCCAGTAAGGATCATCTCTTATTGATCCAGTGTTACTACAAGAGGAAACCTAAACTAAACTGACAATATTTATACTGGATAGCTCTATCAGTTCTAAACTGTTCCCAATTAGAGGTCCAGCAAGGATCATCTCTTATTGATCCAGTGTTACTACAGGAGGAAACCAAACTAAACTGACAATATTTATACTGGATAGCTTTATCAGTTCTAAACTGTTCCCAATTAGAGGTCCAGTAAGGATCATCTCTTATTGATCCAGTGCAGGAAACCTAACCTACACTAACTTTATTTCCATACCTTTTTGGACTGAATGAGGTTGCGGCGTTTGGTAGAGTCAAACTAGAAGCACCTTTCTCACATGCGACAGCTACATACTGCAGGAATCGAACTGCGATCATTGAGATGCATCGGGAAGGAACGTGCACTATATAGTCTAACCACTGTTATCTAACGCCAAACTTTAGTCAAAGGTCCTTACATAAGCGAGCTTATCAAGTACACTCTGCATCTCGCTTTCTCCTTTTTCCATCTGAAGGCTTTTAATTTATCTTATTTGTTTTTGTCTTCTTTTTTCTTTCCGCAAGAGAACTTTGTTTTTTCTAATATGTGGTTTTCCGTTTTTTTCTAATATGTGGTTTTCCGCTTTAGTTCATCTAGAAAATGAAGTTGCGCACATGAATATCGTTAGCTGTTGTTTGAGTGTCTCTGCTTGCTGATTGATCTTGCTTCAACGATGTAAGAATAGCGATTAGTTGTATTGTTTTAACTTAGTATTAGTCCTGTGTAGGTAGTGTTTGTTCTTAAATACACAGCCGTGGTTTGTGTCTGAACTGCCTGAAAAGTATATTTCAAACGTGGGGATCCAAAGCCCGGTTCAGTGTAGGGTGTATTCTACAGTAGGTTTCCGTGGTTTGTGTCTGAACCACTTGAAAAAGATATCTCAATACTCTGGTTTAATTTTAGTTGAATGAAGAATCTCATAAAACTATCGGTCTTGGGGACTAGATTGATACAATATTGTCAATAACATGGACTGAACTGCGTGAAAAAGATATCTCAAACGTGGTGGTCCAGTATGGGTAGTATTCTACAATTAGCTATCGTGGTTTGTGTCTGAACTACCTGAAAAAGATATCTCGGACTCGAACATAGAGGTCCAGTGTAGGTAGTATTCCACAATAAGCTGCCGTGGTTTGTGTCTGGTCCAACTGAGGAAATACATGACGTTTTGAGCAAAATTATTAGCACTAATAATACGTGACGAAGACCTTTGTTTGTTTTCAATGTTGACGTATTTTTGGAAATTGAAATCTCTTTCAGGTAGTTCAAACACAAACCGCGACAGCTTATTGTAGAATACTACCTACACTGGACCACCGCGTTTTAGATATCTTTTTCAGGTAGTTCAGACACAAACCACGACAGCTTATTGTAGAATACTACCTACACTGGACCACCACGTTGGAGATATCTTTTTCAAGTAGTTCAGACACAAACCACGACAGGTCAGCTGATTGCAAAATGCAACCTTTTCTTTTCGTTCAAAAAGAAAGCTTTGTACAGCATGTTTCATAGTATATTTTGTGGTTTTCCGTCGTGCGAACAATTTGATCTAGAACGGTTTAAGTGTTCCGGGACCCCCAAGCTATATAAGTCTTTATTGAAGGTCATTCTCACAAAACGTGATTCCTAACACAATTATATTATTTATACAATGCAAATTAATATTCAAACCCCTACATATGAAATCGAATACTATAAATATTAAAAATACAACAATCTACATGCACATATTTGCATGGGAGTTTCCGCGATCAGATGGTGATTGATTTTATATTTATACCCCCCATTAGCGTCTAATTCTACTGTTGTAGTTATGAATGTCTCTATTGTATAAAAAGTTCATATCATGGTCAATAAGATTATATTTAAAGACTAACGCCTGTACTCTAAAAGCTCACTCACACTCAAAGAGTGGAGGTTCAATCTGAGCTTCTCTTGAGTGTCAGTGCTGTTTTTGAATAGCTGGAAAGCGAGTAGTCACATAGTAAGATACGACACTAACCCTTCAGCTATTCAAAAACAGCATTGACACTCAGGAGAAGCTCAGATTGAACCTCCACTCCATGAGCTTTCAGAATACAGGCGTTAAACCATACAAACCACGATACCTGACGAGGATATAAAAGCTACGATTTGGTGGTTAGGTTTCCACTGTAATTCATGTAAGCCAGATGAAATAGAAGAAACCCAGAAACAATTATTTGATAAAAACCATCCAATTAGGGAAATTGCATTAGTCCATCATTATACAAGGTGAATGATTGGGCTAATCAATAAAATAAACTAACTTATTTGTATTGGATAGCTCTATCAGTTCTACAGTGTTCTTCCCGTAACAGTCCAGTAAAGTAATCCTATTGGTCCAATGTTACTACCAGAAAAAACGTGCAACTAATTTTATTTATGTTGGATAGCTCTATCAGTTCTGATTTCTCCAGAGATCCAGTTATAATGTCATCACTTATATATACTATTTAATGTCAATGCAGATGAACTGTGATAGCTATATTTGTGTTTCTTGGACCAAATTATTTTATTGAATTTTTTCATTCGTGTTTTCTGGACATAGATTTAATGCCTGATTTTTGGAAACTTACAATTTTTTCCTCACGCCATGGTTACCGAGAAAATTTTCATTTAAATCTATATGAATGCAAGTGCGCAATTTTTTTCTGAATTCTTCGTTGCAAAAAACTTCCCTAAAAAGCTGGAAGGAATGTAGTTACGAAATTTGACACAGTGAACTTTCATATGTCTCGTGATTGATAGATGCCGTATCTGCTTTCGTGCTAGTGACACTAGTGTATGCTGTTAAAAACTGCATTTGATATCGTTGACCACACAAAGAAAGCTAAGCGTAGGCGAGGCCTAATCACTTTTGTTTAATATTGCAATGCTTTGAATGATGAATTGATTTGGAATAGTTTTTTCTGAACTGTTCTGCTCAGTAAAGGAAATTTCTAATCGATCCAATTTTACTTGGATGCAAAGGAAGCCTCAACTAATCTAACTCTATTCCTGTTGGATAGCTCTGTCAGTTTTCAAATATTCTCCCTAGAGGTCCAGATAGGCAGTTCCTTATTGCACTAGAGTACTTAGTTTAATATTGTATTGATCTATATTTATAATGAGCTGAGCTCAATATGCATTTGAAATTTGCATTTTGCATGGGAGCAAGCAAGAGTTAATTTGTGTGGTCAGCTCTTACAAAATCAGAAAAGGCGAGAACGAAACGGATTCACGAGGCGTTTTAAAGGAGGGGTACCATTACAGCGTTATGTTTATTTTTCCGGAGCCATCACCATGGGGAGCTCTTGTCTCTCGTATCCTTCCCTAAATGTGACTCCACAATGAATATTACATGAAGATATTGGATCGTATGCTGTCGAGGACACGTTATTTTATTTATAAGCCGTACTTACAAAATCATTAAACATCATTACAGCCTCTTCTTGAACTCAAGTGGCGTAGCAAGAGGGCGTGTATATGTTAAACACAGATCGCTGTCAATAAAAGTGCGTGTTACAGTGACTAACATCATTTCAGGATTGACAGAAGATTGGTCAGTGCACGGTTAAAGTATTCTCAAATAGCAAGACCACAGATCACCTTCACTGATTTACGACTACTGAAATTCAGTTCAGATTACATTGGAAACCAGTACAGTATTGACATATAAGGCTGATCAAAAATACATAAGAATCTTGGTCGAAGATTTAAACAACTGTATCTTCAACGCAACTTCCCATAGTTGTCAATCGAGGCATCGTCAAAGAATAGTCATGGTAGCCAGTAAAAAAATCTACGATCACACCCCAGAGGAGACCACGAATTCTAACAACGGACATTCGTTGCTGTCCTTCATGAATTTGGCGTCGAATAAAGTTAAAACGGCGTTGGAGAAACCGAATACTTTTAAAAGAAACATCAACCATCGACGATTTTTACAAAAACAGTTCAGAGCGATGGTGAAAAGCCCGGAGAAAAATCCTGGGAGAAGATCGATTGTACGTGAAAACATCGACTCGGTGAATTTCACTATTCGCGACTGTAATGGGCAGAGCTTCGCTCCCCCACTTAACCATAACTTTGTACAATTCGACGCGCTTGACACTTCCATTCCAAATTTGGCGTTTGAAACCCCGAATTACTCGTATGCGCCTTTTGCAAGGAGCGAGGGCTATGACCAAGAACAGAGGCTGCAAAGGCAAATGCAATGTGATGCTTTCGAAAGAGGACACGTTACAAAACAGAATAGCTGTCTATATCAAAGCGACTGTTCTTCGTCCGTTCCAGAGCTGATTGTCGAAGAGGATTTTTTGACAGGCGAGGAACTGACGCAGGCGATTGAACTCAAAGATTTATTTATTCCCGAAACGGACCTGACGCAATACCTGTTGAGCGGCAAAGAGAACCTTGGTGGCTTTTGTAATTCTGACGCTAGCTTGGACAACTGCTTATGCCACGGATTGCAAGAAGATATTTTAGTATTTTAACTGTTTCTTGCCCGAGGTAAAATAGTCAGGCGTTAGACTTTATATAGACTCAGATTGAGCTGTAAACACGTATGTCACAGTAAACTGTAATATATTGCTGAGGACAATTTCTCTAAGTGTTACCGGAATGCAAATGGTGTCATCTTCAAAACAAATTGATCTATTACATATCTCTTAATTCTATTTATTTGCCTGCAGATACAAGACTGCTACATATAATGAGAAGAATGAACATTATTTTCTCACTCTGATAACTAGGTTGACCACCATTTGTTGCACAGCACTGCGCAGTGCTTAGTGAAACGTCAGTGATTACTGTAATCATATATGATTGAATAATCTTATTAATTGTAAAGGTCTGAGACCTTTTGAATTCCGGATTGATTTGACTTCGCTTGTTGTGTTAGCTTTTCATTATATAAGTTACATATATATATTTAACAACGAGGAAATTACTTAACATATCAAGTCTACATGACATATTACTTTTATGAATGACTTATTCGAAAAGTAATATGTCATGTAGACTTGATATGTTAAGTAATTTCCTCGTTGTTAAATATATTGTTATACCTGGATTATATTATGCACTTCAGCTTGTTACAGCTTCAGCTTCAAGTTTGGCTGGTCCGAACTTCAAAGAAACTATTTAATGAAAAACTATTTGTTAGAAAATAGATTTGTGTATACTATATATTAATTTTGTAAATATAAAAGTCGTATTTAAATAAGAAATAACAAAGGTTATATTGTATTATTGAATAATTTATGCATCATTATGATAAAGTTGAAATAAATTGATTGCCCATTACAAGTATTATTCCGTTATTTTGAAGTGTTTTTCTGCCATTGATTGACCCTATATATGTGCACACCTCATGAGTTCCTTAACTTGGTGGTGGAAAAGACGGAGTGCGGAGTCGGAGAGCGGAATACGGAGTATGGAGTCTCATTAAAATCGAATCTTCAGACAAAATAAACAATTTTTTGACCGACTCTGCGTTTTCCAATTTATGCCCCCATAAAGTGAAAAACGCGGAGTCTCATTAAAATTGAATCTTTAGGCAAAACAAATATTTTTCACAGACTCCGCACTCCTTACTCCGCACTCCGTACTCTATCTTTTCCACCGGCATACCTTAATTTTCCTTATACAGTTATAGGCGAGGCTCAAGTCGCCAGAACTCTGAATAGTGATGTCTTTTGACACTTTATACAGCCAATAGACCTTTCCCCTTTTGAGTGAAATTTTGATCTAGACAAGTCTGGACAACAATTTCATCACAGCTTGAAAGAGCATCACAAAATTAGTAATATTCCGAAGTTTCGTTGCGAAATGTTGTAAATTGCGGATAATATAGCCTTGCGAAGTTTGCCGTTTTTCAGTCATTTGGTATTACAAACGGGAAATTGATAATTAGATGATCAAACTGATGCAAAATGTTAGATTGTAATGCAAAATGACTGAAAAACGACAAACTTCGCAAGGCTATATTATCCGCATTTTACAACATTTCGTAACGAAACTTCGGATTATTACTAATTTTGTGACGCTCTTTCAAGCTGTGATGAAATTGTGGCCCAGGCATATCTAGATCAAAATTTCACTCATAAGGGGAAAGGTCTATTCAAAAAACGTTGTCCTTTGCAAACCTTAAACTCTAAATGACCTTAAACGTTAAACTCTAAGCGCGCAAAGCTTAATGGGAGCACAAGTTTGAAGCTTAGTAGTTGAATATTGCAGCTATTTGTGAATGAAGTGTTCTCGTTAATATCTCGTAAGGAGATATTAACCATGTCTCTAAGAAATGGATCGCATATATGATTTCTAAACTGACTAGATGATGCTGCCATTATGCTTTGCACGCTTAGCGTCTAAGGTTTACAAAGGACAACCTTTTTTGAATTAGCTGTATACAGAGTGCCGGTATAAAAACAAGGTAATCAAGTCACCAGAACTAATAGTGAGGTCTTTTGACACTTTATATACAGGGTGTATAACTGTGTATAAGGATAGGTAATCATGCGATGGCGAGTACAATTAGGGATTAATAGTACGAGTGATGTTTGGAAATTTTGCCAAAATTGGACGAGCCGCCGCGTAGTTGTTTATTACTAGCATGAAAAATTGGATACTTATTATTATTATTATTATAAATTCATATATTCTCTCGCCAAAGCCCAGTCCTGCCAGACTGTCAACCAAAATTTGGTGCTTTTGTCCGTATTTTCATTTAGTTCTTTTGTTAAAGCAAATTTTGGTGCTTTTGTTCGTATTTTCATCTAGTTCCTCTAGGGCAATTTCATTTCACGCTTGTGTTTAAAATACCTTTCCGCCATTTTGTTTGTTTTGGGAAAATCATTAATTGTACTGCAGTACAATTAATGAAATAATTGTACTCCTCTCAACCAATCAGCATCCAGTAATTTTGTCGTGCTAATAATAAACAAGGTAATCTAACTTTGCTTGGCATGTTATCGTGTACCATTGTACCAATAAAGATGATGCTTTTAGCTGTCGAATGATACCTTTCTTGCATCATTGCGATCAAAAATAGCAAAATATAATCCGATCTAAAAATGCCGGTCGAAATCGAATTTAAAATTATTTTCAGTTGGGATTCAAACTGAAGTCCCTTGAGTAAATATTGCCCAACGGCGCATGTGTAAGGATCAAGTTTTGATAAACGTTTACTCGCCATTTCACATCGAAGTTGAGTGACTAAAACATTTTACAAAACTGGAAAATTGCAGACTAGCTGGACTACCAATTATGGCATACGTTTCCCAAATGCGCAACAAACATTTGGGCAAATGTTAGAAAAGTGGAAGAACATTTAAATCCCAAAGGTGGAAAAATGCGAACTCAACCGATCACTACCTTTACATTGACATCAGTAAATGGCTGGCGTGACTTTCGCGTCTTCTCGGACTAGGACGTTAAATCGTATAGGTACCTCGGATGCCCTATCAATATTGGGCATTAGCCGGCGTACAAAATACAAGCAAAACATCGGCGTTTCGAGTTTGAAGACGAAGGGCCTTCGCTCAAAGCGTCAATTTTGCTTGTATTTGTCAGGTACACACGTAAAAACGCGGCACAAGTTGTTACAGTCTGCAAACAAGTTGTTACAAATCTGATCACAAGCTGTCGACAACTTTACATGTGTTCGCACTGCTTGTTCCCAGTTGTTTTGAACAAGCTTGATGGCATCATCAGACTTGTTACAAGGTTGTTCTAACAAGTCTGATACAGTCATGATATAACACGAATGTTACAAGGTTGACGACTCAAGGTTGTAACATTATTGTATGACTGTATCGGACTTGTTGGAACAACCTTGCAACAATTCTGATAATATTAACAACGTTGTTACAAGTTGTTAACAGCTCGTTCCAAACTTGTTGACAACTTAGGACAAGCAGTGCGAACACAACTAATTGTTGACGGCTTGTTGGCAGCTTGCTACAAGATGTGAGTGTTCTCATTCCGCAGGTTATTGTATACGCTGGCACAGATTGTTAATAATACAGGGTGAGTAAAAAAAAACTGATACCTTCGCGGCTAATTTGAATAACAAAGCTGTCAGGTTTTTTTTACTCTCCCTGTATATATTGACGTTCGTGTCTTTAAGATTATGCTGACACTGAATTAATGAATTTTCGAGCGCGATTTGAGCTTACAATCTGTCGCAATCAAAGTGAAAAGATTTCTGAAAACAAATCTTTGAACTCTCTTTAATTTACGTTAGATCTTTCATGCTGATTATTTCTTTGTTTTTTTTTTCCATAACGACGAAATAAAGTAAAGTCTATTAAAGAGGTTTTTTCTTCCTCAAAACTTAATTTCTCACGACTGAATTACTTCCCCTGCGCCTGAGGGGCTTAAAACAGTCACTGTATGAGGATCTAAATTGAGTCATTGCATAGGGGGCTAAATTGAGTCTTGTACTGACAGGGAAATACTGACTCATGCTTTCTCTGCCGCAGTCGTCAAAGCAGCGCCTTTCATCTTTGAGTTAATCGTGGGTTCGATTCTCGCTACGGACTCATGGAAAAGTCGTGGTTTTTCTCCGGGCGCTCCGGTAATCGATATCGATAGTCTAATTAAAGACACAAATTACACACTGATATATTTGAAGTACTGTTTAATAAACGAGCAGGAGTGTTTTATTAGGTTTAAAGTCACGAGCGCGCAGCGCGAGCGGCTTTAGACCTAATAAAACACGACCTGTCAGTTTTTTAAACGGCTTCAAACACGACTACAAATTCAATAGATATACTGCCTTATTAGTATTCTTTATATAAAGAATACAAATGAGGACACGACTAAAATAGATACTGCCTTATTAGTATTCTTTATATAAAGAATACTAATTAGGAGTGTTTTATCAGGTTTAAAGCCACTGCACGTGACATATTATGATCGACATGATTTGCCAATAAGCTTATGAATTATTAATAAAATATTAAAAAAACTCATTAATAAATCATGAAGAAAATTCAAAAGAAATGAATGTTTAATCAATGTTTGTAAATCAGATAAAGATATGTCCTGATTTACATAAACTTCAGCTTTGATTTTCTCGGCTTAGACAATGTTTATTTTTAAAATTACTTCGCCAATGAACTCATAAGATGGGTCGGCTTTTAAGCACGTTTTTCGGACTAGAACCGAGAGACATAAGCAATTTTTTATTGCAAGATCTATAGTAAATATATATATATAAATCTGATAACATTCAACTTTGTCTTTTAACTTAACCTTTTTAATATTAGTTTTTAATTGTAATTATTGATCTTATTTATCATGACTCAATATAAATCCATTGTATTTTTAAATCCCTAACGGATGAATATTAATAAATTCAAATTCAATTCAAGTTTGGAAAGGTGGTGAGAATACAGATTGTGGTTGAAAGAGGAAATAGATGTTCACATTCAATCACTATGAACGGGAAGGTTGTTCCATGCAAAGAAAAATTAACAGTCTGGTATAGGAAAACGAGTCTCTAAAAAAAGAGAGGTTCTGCAACGATTAGGAGTTAGTAAGGGACCGGTCATTATTTATGGCGGGGGGTGGCACCGAAGAGAAATTTTTTCCGTATCAAAAATTTTGCTGACCCAACCATTAAAAAGACAAAATTTGATTACCCAACCTCAAATATCAATTAAAAAATAACTACCCACCCCTGGCCAAAAACTTAACAAAAGGATACCATTCAGTTGTCATACATGTCCTTTATCACTTCAGTGACATGAGTTTGATAACGGCGTGTGTAATTTTCTGTAGTCTTATTTCTATTAACTGTGGTCACGCTTTGGAAATGACAATAATTTTTTATATACCCAACCCTTGCGTTGTTTTGTTTTTCATTTACCCAACCTTTTACTTACTCAAAATTTTGTTTACCCAACCTTTTTCTCTTCGGTGCCACCCCCCGCCATAAATAATGACCTCTCCCTAACCTTTGTTGGTTTGTACGAATGTGAGAGACAGAGTCTGAAGAGAAACGGTGACAAAAGAAGAGGCATCTAGATCATAAAGACTTTAAGCCGAGTAGTGCAACTGTGAATAAAATCCATCTCGTTTCCCCATTCCTGTAAAACCTCAACGGTAATTACCGAAGATACGTCAAGGGTGCACCGAACCTGCTTTTGCCAACCGCAACAGGACACTCAACTAACTTACCTTTCTTTGCCGGAAACTTATTGACCGCTCCCGATCCTGGGAATTCTGCACAATTTATCTTGTATATGCCCGTGAAATGTGCATGGGTCCTTCGCTTTACCGCAATGACATCCGGAATCTTGGAAGATTCCACCAAGTTCCACCATGATTTCCAAATTATTTATTAGTATATAAAACTTAAAATATCTGCATTGTTGCTAAGTCGCAGTGTGTAGACGTGCCCTAAGATTTAAATCTTACAAAAAGTAGTTATAACTAATATTTTTATTGTTTGTAATTTATTTATACAGTATATTAACGACTTTAGGTGTTATAATTTAGGTGTCAATTGGAACGAAAGTCCTGTTCCTTTCTCTTATCACAGCGTGTCTTTGTAAGCTTATTTTGTTGTAAACAGGCTTATATGCATGTGCATGATATATATAAATAACATGTAAACTGTGACAAACTTATATTATATTATTATAAGCCAATCTGAGAAATATCATGGATATCAAATGAGAATTAGACCGTGTCATCTATAAGACTACCGATCTCAATCTTATCCCGAGCAAATAGCCGGAGTATCGTACTAAAATCTCGCCTTTCTCAAGCAAGGAAGCTTAGCCAACACTACTGTACATTCCCTCCCTGCACCTATAGACGAGTTACGCAAACCCGTGCACAAATTGCCGAGCCAGCATATTAGCCTGCGTATATAAGCGGCAGAATCAGTCATATATTAGCTGTCTATATTAATTTCCCTATATTTTTTCCATCCAAGTAGCTATGTTAGGATTCAAAATGGTTTCATTGTCTTTTGAATCTACCTGCCTATATGTGACACGGCAAAGCATTCGAGCTAAAGGTTTCTTACTTTCGTAATCAAGAAATTGCAGGCATCACAAATGTTGATATAACTGAAATTTGTGATGCGTATTTTACTGTCTAATGCTTGATATATGTTCCCTGACTAAATGACCAACAATATTTGGATTTAGTATAATTACATAGGTGATTATTGAAAATTCTCCACGCTGATTGGTTGCCGTTGAGGTGATTATTACGCGATAATCACCTAAGCGATTTTCAAAATGGCGGCCGAAGCCTTTTTGTCAATTAAATGACGAAGAAATGTGTATTTTCTTATTTTTTTCCAAATAATCACCTATGAAATTATACAAAACAATTATTCACCTCAGGCTCGGTGATTATCGTGAATAAAAACCTCGACTTCGTCTCGGTTTTTATTCACCAATAATCACCTCGCCTTCGGCGAATAATTGTTAAATAACAAGCTTTCGTTGGTAGCGATGCAACTACCTGAAAAATATAAGGAGAATTTCGACGTTTTGAGCGAAGGCCCTTTGTCTATACTTACATCATTGACACTACCTATACTGGCATATAGACAGTCCAATATTGAGATATTTCCATCTTGGAGTGGCATATGCTTGTATTCGTACGTTTTTTAACTAAAATTCTCAGCTGTAATATTGCTAATCGTGGAATTATCAGTACATTGAATTATCAATGCAGGGTAAAAATCGAAAAGATTATCACACCAACTATGATATAATAACTAAAATACAAAAATTTATGAAACGAAATCTCAATAGCCTAGCTCTATAGATTTAAAAATGTTATTAGGCTACTTCAAGTATTTCTTGAGTTCAATTTTAAGAAGATCTAAGGACTAAGGTTTAACTGATAAAATAATTTTTTAGGAAGATTATTCCAGTCTCACAAAAATGTTCTAGGGTAAAAAGTCTAACGCCCGTATTCTAAAAGCTCACTCACACTCAATGAGTGGAGGTTTAATCTGAGCTTCTCTTGAGTGTCAATGCTATTTTTGAATAGCTGGAGGGTGAGTAATCACATAGTAAGGTATGACGCTAACCCTCCAGCTATTCAAAAACAGCAATAACACTCCAGAGAAGCTTAGATTGAACCTCCACTCATTGACTGTGAGTGAGCTTTTAGAATACGGGCGTAAAATGTCTTTCGTAGCTCGAGGTATACTATACTTAAATTTATGGCTGTTTCGTGATCTTTGCTTGGTATATCAGTACATTATTTTGAATTTAGTGATGTAATCATTTTCAGGAATTAAAATTGATACGCCATGAATCAGCACGTTGAGAGTATTGTATCAGGAAATTAACATTCTGCACGCGTGCAAGAGCCTGAGTTTCCTATATCCAGTAGTTTCCTATCCATATTAAGTTTAATGACATGGCATATAGGATATAAAGACCATGGCAAAAAAAACTGTATACAATGTTATAAACAAAGTTATAAACAACAAACCCAATGAAAAGATTTGAAAATTTATACTCATGCATGTGTATTTCTTGATTTTGTAACAGATTTCGTTTCACTTCCTAATGAGACTAATGAGACAGGTGTATATAACTTTTTGATAGCCAGCCAGAGTGTCACAACTCACAAGGGTGTTCTTTATTTCCAATGAATATAGGGTGGAGTTATATGAAGTGCCTGACTCCATTACAGCTGGGAAAAGCGTGGTCAGACTTGAGGAAAGGTGATGTTGGGCGCTTCAGTGTAAGTAGAGTTAATATTGTCTGATTGAGAATAATTTATATTTACCTGTTGTTGCGACAGAATCTTCCCGAGAGATAAAAAAAACTGAAATGCAACATTATTATTATGCTTTATATCCATT